ACAACTTTAATTAGAGACTCAAAGATGATTAACTTAGTACGAAAAAAAGTTTTCTTTGGACAATCACTAGAAAATTTTTATTTTCGCACTTATAGTAATTTATATATAGAACCGCGTCACGTTTCACTATGATCATTCTTCAGTTGACTGGAGAATCGTCAATTAAACACAAGGGCATTGACTAAGTTGGTCATAGCTTAAGCAGCATTGTTCAGAGTAGCGTTAGCCATGTTTATAGATAGTATAACTAATGGAAATGTTACAGATAATTGTAGTGGTAATAGGTTTTCTTCAAGTTGTTCTAGTACTAATAGATTATTTAGATTAGGTGATAGTAAGTTATCTAGACCAGACAAAAGTAAATTATTGTCAAGTTAGTCTTTTTTACAAGTAAAGTTAAATAAAAAAACTTTAAATTAAGAGTTATCTACTTACTATAAAATAGTTTTTTTGATTTTTTGCATTATTTTTATAATATACCCACCTTTTAAAAATAAATTTTGCTAAAAGCTCTCCTTATAGCACATCTAATGATTTATATTTTATTTAAAAAATTGTGAACTTAAAAAGAATATGTTAAAAGTATGTAAAATAATTACACATTTTCAAAGATATAATATTTTATAAAGAATGATTTAATTTATATAATCTTAATACCATTCTATTTGTAAAAATCTTAGCAATAATTTTGTTACAAGAAACACTATATATTTTAATTAAAGTTTTAGATAAAATTTTAAAACTATAACTTTGTTGATTTGTGTGATGAATGAAAATTATATAATAAAATTTTAGATATAACAAATTAAGCATCTAATAGTGTGATAAAAATTATATAGATCATAAGTAAAACAAATAGATGTAAAATTGCTAACACTTCTTGTAAGTTGCAATAAAAACTTATTATTAAGTGATCATTAGTGAAATGTTAAGTTCTAAAAAAGTACTTTAAAATGTATAAATAAGTTACTTAGGCAATTGAATTTTCTTCTATAAGATGAAACTGGTGACTATCTAAATTTGGATTGACTAAGTACAATATCCAATCAGATTTTAGATAGTTACCAGTTTCACCAGCAACTTTAGTCAATTCTGCCTGTCAAATAACTTGTTCTACTACGTATATCAAAAGTTTTTGAGTTTTCCCTCTTGTATTATTATACATATTAGCCCATATATTATTGTCCGGAGTGTAGCGACGGACACTCAATTTTTACACATTAAGTGATACAAAAGTTATGTTTGATGCGTTTCGACCATCAAACGTTTCCTTTTTGATGCATTAACATAATTATTATATCAATAACGTAACTTCGAAATTTTTTGTCTGTCCCTCTGCATGACGCGTGATTACAAAACTATTTTGAAAACAACAATTGATTACCAGTATAGTCAGGGATATTACCAAATATGATAATGCTCCAGACTTATTTCCCGATTCCTAGTATACCAGATAAGTACATGCATTTTTCTGAAATAAGCAGTGTATCCTCATTTCCATTTTGGTATTCCAAGTTCAGGGGTTATTAACGTAATGAAAATTCTGTATAAATACACGACCATTCATTACCAAGAAAAAATGTCTAATACTGAATATTTTAAAAAGTTTTCTACTGAATATCCAAATCCTTTTAATTACTTTTATAGCAAGATTCGATTAGAAGCATTTACATATGATAAGTCTGTAGAGCATATGAGCTATAAAAAAGCTCTTACAGATTCTATAAATAATGACTTTCCTAAAAATGAACAACTTCTCAAGGCAAGACACGACTGGGCAGCAGTACGTATCTTTTTTTTTTGCTTTAAATTCGAGGAAGACATATTTCATGGAGGTAGGATTTGAAAGACTACGCGTCAAGTATGATCCATATCAAAATCTGAAAGACTACGTGTCAAGTAAGATTCAAAAAAGACCTTTGATGAGATAGGGTTTGAAAGACTACGCGTCAAGTATGATCCATGTCAGAATCCGAATGTCAAGTAAGGTCTAAAGGGATGCAATGAAAACCGAATAGACTTGTACTGTATTTATGAGATATTGGAAACTTAAACAAATTTATATAATAGTTTACAATATAAGGCCATTTGAAGTTGATTCTTCGGTTAACGTCAACTTTTGAGCTCGGACAGGGGGGGGGGGGGGGTAACAAATTAAACAAAAAAATTAAACAGGCCAATCACAAGACGATTACTGGATGAATATGATTGGACAACAATTTTACAAATTGGACAAAAATTTTACAATGCTGTGATTGGCTTGTTCGTTTTTGGGGGGGATGGCCAGGAGGGGGGGGGTTACGTTAACCGAAGAATCAACTTCAAATGGCCTAATTAATACATATATTAAATATATATATTTTTTTAGAATAAATATAAATCTACTTTTAAAGATTGGTGGAAAATCCCAAAAGAATTTCACGAAATAATTGCGAAGTTTTCTGACAATTATGGTGATGATCATGATAATGATTTGAATGAAAAAATAATTAATATCGATGAAGATAATTATAATTCGAAGGTTAATTGTCAGGTTATTGATTACCCATGCATTTCGTAGTTCTGAGGTTAGGTGAATATGAACATAAATGTGATAACTAGTATTCAGTGTACTTAATGCGTGGGATCGAGTTGGAACTCTAAAACAGATAGACAATAAATTGGATTAGTACCATCAAAAAAAAAAATTTTTTCGCTACTTATCTTCGGTCGAAAAGGTTCGAATTAGAGTGTCCAGGATTATGATCCGGCATAATATCCGCATTAGAGTTTAGAACCGGGTTATAGTAAACCGGGTCACCCGTGTCAAAACAGTTCAACCGGGTCAAAAATTTACAACTCGGGTCAAAACGGTTGAATATGTAACCTCTAAACAAGCATAATGGAAGTTTGTTTTTATTGGCCGAATGTTTGTCATGTATGTTACATAATTTGATGATCGTTCCGCGCAAATCACATGATTGACATATTTTATTAACCAATAAAATGTCAAATAATTTATCACGTGCATAATTAATCAAACCACTTCGCATTTCGCTTCATAACGATAAAGAGCGTATTCACATAATATACAAAATTAGAACTGAGGAAAGACCCATGCAATACACAGTAATTAGCCAAAACATTAAAATAGATAACTAATTATTAACATAAGCAAATAGATAGGCCAATTCTATTATATAGCATTAAATAACGCGAAACACCATTTTAGGGTACGCGAAGTTTTTAATAAATAAAAAATAGATTAAATTATGTAACAGAAATCGAAGGATCAAAAGGAATAGACTTAGATATTTCTCTTGTAAAGAACAGAACTCAAAGTTCCAACAACACCTCACCAATAAATAAAGAGTAATCGTGTCTTCATACACGAACAAATCGTGTCTTCATACACAGATCGCTCGAATAAACCATAACCCTGTTATAGTGTCTTCATACACGTATAACTCGAAAACTCTATTGAATAAACTGTAAACTTGTTGATACGACTATCTGTATCTCCATATACATTTAGCCATTTGCCTCTTTCATAACTGCAAATCACACAATCCTCTTAACAGCGTAACCCTATAGTTTACTTAGCATAAATCGGCATTCGTTATTAAATTACTTAACCTACCCGTCGCTATAGTAAAACGTTATACCGGACTTCTAAGAGGTAGTTCCGGGTGTAACAATACCAACAAATTTGAACAAAAGCTAGAAGTGGTAATACATATCATAACCTAGTTGAAAGTAACTATATTACACAATATAGTCCATAACCAACCAACACACAGGAGCCATATAAAGGTATAGAAGATATAGCATACTAATTCTGGTTTGATGTATAAGTACTCTCTAACTACATACTGGTGTGACAGATAAGTTGTACAAGAAGTAGCCTAGTAGAAGGTTGCAAAGGCTGTGGACCTCAACTATGGAAACATCAAAGATGACACGGAATCTAATACTAGCAAGGAAAATTGATCAGAACCATCACCAAGTTAAGAAGTATACCGTGAGGAATATAAAGACCTAGGCCCCAACCGATGTATACAGTAAAATGTAAAATTGGAAATATACAATAATAAAGTTTATAATCATGTTTTTTTAAAAATAATTTTTTTCATTATCAAAGCTTAGAAGAGCTTTAGACGTTTGACGCTTGGACGTTTGACATGTCAAAAAAGGCTTTGGACGTCAAAATGTATCGCAAAATTCCGAAATTTCATTTCAGAAACGAGCTTATCAGATTCTGATAAGCATTCTAGATTTTTCTCTTTGCGACACTCAAATCGACTTTTTCATTATTTCATTTGAAATTCCCAATTACATTTTTCATTTATGAAGTTCACGATTTAATTGGTTAATAAATATGATAACTTTTGCGTAACATTACACGGCACCTATTATATAAAACTCGCATGTATATGGTTCATTTAATAATTACGAATAACATGTTTTCTCTTGAAAAACAAAATGCTGAAAAGCAAGCATTTGTGGATAAGGCTAGGTCAGAACGTGAGAAACGGGAATTGCAACGTGTCAAACAAAAACAAGAACAAGAACATGCTCAAGCTGCCGATATGATACAAACGGCATTTAAAAAACACTGCAAAAGAAAGAAAGATATCAAACATCTACGGGAACTATGGGATATCGACGTCTTATATACTAGTGACAATGGGTCAAATTCAACATTTTCTATATCCTCAACTGAAGTTCTTGGTTTTTCATACTTGATGTTTGCTTTCTTCAATCCGTCTGATGATGCAAAAGATCTTTCAAGATTTTCGCATCTTTGCAAGATGATTTTATCCACAATTACTCCTTCAACACCTGCAAAGTCTCAAACACAAGAGGCTTCACAGTCTGTTGTACCATTTCATTCTCTACTGCTTAATGAACGATACAAAGCGTTGATGTTGAAAATCATGAAAAAAATACTTTGGCAATGTGTCATTTGCGTTACCGGTTCTTTGAATGAAACTAGTACTTTAAATTCTTCTAAACCTTTGTATCTTTCTGGCCCAGAATTACGACTACTTATATACTTTCTTGATCCTAAAAATTATATTGTCAAAGGAACAATTTCTTCTTATTCTTCCATGTGGAATCAGCAACTTGTAATGCTTCATGATTATCTTATTCATCAAGGATTTTGCAAGCAAATTGGTTATGGAATAATGTTGCGTGTAAATTCCATTCTTTCTTTTCAATCAAGGGCTGCAAAAGCTGAATTAATGGACAATGATAAGAAATTACTAAAATCAACTCAATTATGGCTAATAGCATGTCTTCGATGCTGCTTATTTCCTTTGGATTTAAATAATGAAGTTGACATGACATTACGCTCATTCAAAATGTCTCAAAACAATTTACAAGATCGTTCAATAAATAACCTAAATAATTTTATTTGTTATATATTGACAATCCCCTGTTTGATATCTTGTTTTGATGGGATCTGTTTAGAAATGTTCAAAACTTATAATATTTTATCGCGAGTAATTCACACTATGTGTATTCCTGATATTGCTGTCAAAATACTGCAAATTATTACAGGTAATGACACTATATTTCTTACAGGAAATATGGTAGAACTCATGTCAAGAATAGATATACTTTCTCTTCCAGATAACAAAGTTGAAATAACATTTCATAATTTTATCGAATCAATCATTTTTCTGTTACAACATTGTCAAAAATTTGTTTCTACTAAACAATCTAACACCCATTACCATTACCACCCTGTTTTTACCTGGTATTCTGGGACAACTGATCCAAATCTTCCGACATCTCATTTCAACAGATTAATAACACAACTTGAATATTTATGGCAGAAACCATTTTTACTTCGATCATTTAATCCCGTCTTGAATTTTAAATTCGACTCTCAACTTAATAATAATCTCGACTCTTCCAAAATACCATCACAGAAAAAAACTTTAATCGACAAAAATTCAAGTTTAACTTCTAATCAAATAACACTTCTGGCCGTCGAAACTCAAGATATTTGTCGCCTTTATCTTATGCTTTCAAAATTACTTATCATGCAAAAACATGACATCATGATGAACTTGATATTCCTTCCGCGTCTTGTGCCTACCTTATGGCAATTTATGATGTGCTTAGGCCCTAAAGGACGAATGAAGATTTTTTTATCCGAAACTGTAGTTAAAGAACCTGAAAAGGAACCATTAATTGGGATTTTAGAGTTATTCTGTGAAACTTGTGGTATATTATTATTGTTAGTATAAATCTTTAATGCATAAAATGAATCCGTCAAACTTTTTTTAAGTTGACTAATTAAATTCTTGTTTTTAATTAGAACCATTGATGATGATGAATTATATGAAATGCAAACTCCTTTTTCAATTGAGCGTGATTTGAAACCTATGGCCATATTCTTTAATAAATTTTGCTTTGCTCTTCTTAGTAATTCACCACCAGATGGTAATCCTCCTACAATATTTGAATCTGCACGAAGGGTGCTTCTCCAATTGCATTTGCGCGACACTAGGCGCGTATTTACTGGCCATGATCATACTTGGCTTCTTATTAAAGATCCCAAAATATCTTTACCATTGTCTTTAGCAAACTTTCTCAAAAAATCTTATGCAGTAAATCCCAATAATTCAATGGGAACTTCATTTTTAGAACGCATTCGTAACAATGACCCTATTTCTGTAAAAATTCTCAACCTATTGCCTCATACTATCCCTTTTGAGACCAGGCTCGATATTTTTCGTGAATTCTTGCAAACTGATGATTCTTGCATCAGTGATTGGTCGGATACTGTAATAAAAATTAGACGCGATCATGTGTTGGAGGATGGATATAAGCAATTGGGAAAATTAACTGCAACGAAGATTAAAGGCCGGATTCGAGTTATGTTTGTAAATGAAACTGGTATTTTTTTTTTTTATTAATACATTCAAACCTCCATTTAAGACCGTCCATAAAAGAATGCTTTCTATATAGGAACATAATTTAATCATAAACTGGATATTCTGATATTCTTGTAGGTATGGATGAAATTGGTGTGGATCAGGGAGGCCCGTTTAAGGAATTTATTACTCAACTTATATCCGAAGGTTTGTGTATAATAAATCATTTTAGTAAATTGATAATTAATGTGGTGAATAATGATTAGCATATTAAATAAATCCAGCTTTTGATCCAAAATGTGGCCTTTTTGCCGTTACTCCTGATGGCACTCTTTATCCCAATCCTCATAGTGCATCTACAAAATTACCATTATATACATTTTTGGGTCGAATGATTGCAAGAGCAATGAAAGAGAAAATCCTATTAGACTATCAATTTGCAGAATTCTTTTTAAGCAAGATTTCCGGGCGAGCAGTGTTTTTGGAAGATCTTATTGGTTGGAATAATGAATTATGGAAAAATCTAATATTTTTGAAGAGATATGAAGGTGTGCAATGTTTTTATGTTAGTCCTTTCTTTTCCTTTATTATTATTGTGGAGACTGATGCTGAAATCGGATGATGCTGAAAATTTTCATATTTTATTATGAAATTGTAAAATTTTTTAGAGCCTTTTTTGTGGTCTTTTTTTCATAGTTAGGTTAGGGTTAGGGAGTAGTATTTATTAATAAAAAAGTCTATGTGAATTTTAGTAGGTTTTACAGATTTAAAAAGAGACCCCAATTTTCAGCATCATCCGATTTCAGCATCAGCCCCCACAATTATTATTATTATTATTAAATCTGGTTTAATTTTTAGGCAATGTTGAAGATTTAGGTTTATATTTCGTAATAGATGAAGAGATTAATGGGCAGATTAAGTCGAAAGAACTTAAATCAGTATGTGCATATTTGTATGTACAAGATTTAAATTTAATGCTAATGTGTTTTTTAATACAGGGTGGTTCGCACATGGCTGTTACAAATTACAACCGAATTCAGGTTTGATTTGAAACCAATTCTGCCATCTTTCTAGTCAATTCTGACATTAATTGTAAGTTATAATAACATTGTTGTAAATGTAGTATATCTACCTTGTGGCAAATTATAAATTGAATAAGCAAATCAAGGAACAAACGGAAGCATTTATCAATGGGTTTGTATTTAAACAAAATTCATCCATATACTGTAAGATAACGAATAATTCTTAATTATAACTCTCCCTCAGTTTTCAATCAATGATATCAATAAATCGACTTAGAATGTTTTCACCACCAGAGCTGCAACGGTAAAAAAAATTTTTTTTTATTAGAATTGATTTTATTGCCATGCCAATTCTCTTAATATTAATTTAACCAGTGTGATGTCCGGAGAAGACATTAATTGGGGTAATCTTAAGTCTTTACAACTTATAATATTCTATTCTGTGGTTGATAACTTACTATAAACTACATCTCACTTCTCTAAATAGACGTAGCAGATTTACGCAAATATACTATGTATCAATCTGGATATTTTGATCAGCATAAAACTATAAGAAACCTTTGGTCGATATTAGAAGAGTTTGATTCTAAAGACAAAAATGCATTTTTAAAATTCGTCACAAGTTGTTCGAGGGTATTTTTTACATTAATATTCACAGAATATTACGCATTTAATGTTTGTAAAAACTGCTAATTCGAGTCTCTTATTTAGCCACCACTTGGCGGGTTTAAGTAAAGTGATTTTGTTTAGTTTCAATATTAGTTATAGATGTATATTTAATTACTATCGTTATAATGATTTACTAGATACTTGCAACCACAATTTACTATTCGCATGGTATCGATGGAATATGATGATTCTGAATCACGTCCTGTCCTTGCACCAGTTAAAGCATTTTTTAGTTTTGGAAATTCCAAATCGGCAGCTAAAGGAAGATTACCTACTAGTTCTACATGGTAAATATTTCATGTTTTTTGTTAGCAATGAATGTATTATTAAATAGCCTTGATTATCAATATTTTTTGATTATCTATATTTAGCTTTAATTTACTGAAACTTCCAGGTATTTTTTTTTGTTTGAAACAATTACCATTTTAATTATATAATGAAATTTATTAGTAATTCGATGAATTTACTATTATTTGTAGCTTATTCTCAGAAATCAATGTTAAAAGAGAAATTGAAATATGGTAAGATATTACTAGCCATTAGCTCGCTGATATGTTTTATGTTAATTATGCATATTGACTGATCATCTAATTTTCGCTCAGCTATTAATTCCAATACTGGCTTTGAACTTACTTAATTCGGTTTATACTATGATCTATTGACTACTTTAATGAATTTGGAGATTCTTCCGATGAGAATGGGAATTTACTTGTAATTTTAAAGCAACAAATTGTTAGAAAATAAGAATTTGGAAAAAATTTTTTGATTCCATATCAAAATGTATTAATATATCAACGAAGGAAAGACAAATGCTTTGAAAAAATTATAAGTAAGGGCAGTGAAAAATATTACGTAATACCTTGAGGGGGAGTCCTCGATATCTTATGTTAAATATAAATTTATAACTAGCCAGTCATTTACTATTATAATATTACACAAAGAAAAGTTTAATTGTTATTTATGTTACATTATTTAGTGTAACAATCTTTAATCCTAACAATACTAATGGGTAGTATATGTAGTATTTCCACAAAAATTGTCAGTAAAATTAATTTGAATTTGGTTAACATGAAATTTTTTTTGTTTAATAACAAGCCTAAATACAGACTTGATTCCTAGCAGTTAAATTTGGAAAAATTTTTATTATATTTGATATCAATATCAGTATAAAATTTTGGTTACAATAAGAAAAAATTTACTATGTATATATATAAATGAAATGTTAATCAACTGTTAAATAATTATAAGTAAATAATTTGACCACGAAATCTAGACCAACAATGAATTTTTGGACATAGAATGATATTCAAAGTAGGATAACTTATCAACTTTTCAGAAATTATATGTTTTGCATATTTATCTTGACTAATTAGCACTGGAATTGTGTATCTACCAACAGGAGGTACTTGTGATAAATATTCTTGAAATCTTTTTTGATTTTCAATTGTTGAATTTATCTCAAAAAATTTATGAATGTCAGACTCATGAAATCTTCGAATTTTAAAAATAGAATTTTTGTATAATAATGGTATATTTTTATCTAAACCAATGAAAAATCTTTTGTCCCATAAAATAATATCACCTGGCTTGATTTGTTGTATAGTTACATTATCATAAGATGTTTTAAATGGTTGTCGAAAAAATATCCAAGGTTGAGAATCCATATTTTTCAAAGAAATATTTTTTTCAGGATTTAATAGAATTCCATGTATAGTAAAATTAGACAGATTATGTGATGTATATGATGACATTATGTGTTGATAGCATCGAAGAATAGAATCCAACCGTGGTGCCTGTTCACTGCACTGAATCCAACGTATAATTAAGGCTATAATTCTAGTTCCAAGATATTTCTTACAAAACCAATGATTATATGAAAGATTCTTTGGTAAATAAAGTGAACAAATTCCATTATCACTATCGAATTTTATCAAATTTTTTGCAATCATTTTAACTAAAAAGTTTATATTATTGTTACTATTATTATTATTACTAAATAGTTAATTATTAAAAATATTTAAATAAAAATTTCTTGTCACCTTCTGATTTCATACAATTTTTATGATAATCCATATGGTTCATAAATTTTGATAATCCTTCTGTGGATAATGGTTCATATTCAGATTGACCATTTAAATATCGTTGATTAAAATCATTTAATGCTAATCTTACTACATTTCTTTTATAATCTTTTGATAAATTCGTGGAATCTTCAAACCATAATAAATTTTTTGCTTTACAAGTTTCTATTATTCTATTCTAAATTATAATAATAATAAATAAGATTTAATACAATATAAGATTTATACTACAGTTGATACTATTTAAATGCATATACTACCTAATTGTATACTATTTTTATTTTTCAATATAATCATTAATTAGAAATATATAATTTTTCTATTTTTATAATATTTAAAAATAAATTTAATTGCAAATATCTTATATAGATTTAATTTTAAATATAAATAACTTTTTATCTACTAATTCATTTTAGATAATTTATTGTTAAAATTATTAGCTTAATGTAATAATTTTAATAAGCAAAATTTTATTAAAATCTAATTACAAAATTATAAAATTATTAAAATTTGTATTGCTTTTATGTATATATAAATACAAGTTTATATTATTATTATATAAAATATAATACAAACTGTTAATAATTTTGTAATTTTGTAATTAAATCTTTAATAGTTTCAAATTAATTATTTTGGTAATTAAATTATCTAAATGAATTAATAGATTAATAATTAAAAATATATTAATATTAAAATTTTAACAATTTTAATTAGTTGTCTAATATATTATATAACTTAATATTATTAACTACTAATATCCTACAAACTATACTTAACAGTCGGCCGACATGTCGTTTACAATTGCAGACTTATTGATCAAATTAATTG